CACAACATGACATGCATGGGATTCAAGGTACCCACTTGCCCCGCAAAAAGCACTTTCAGTCGGGAGTGCCAAAAGGTATAAAATGATAAAAATTCGTGATAATGTACTCAGAACTATCAGTATGTCACGGCGGCGATATTCATAAGGGAGGAGATGGGAAATTATTGGCATGCATAAAACAGGAATGTCCGCCAGAGCGATTGGTCGTCAGCTGAACATTCATCACTCTATCATTTGCAGACTTGTGAGAAAATTCATCGCCATCGACCATGTGAGGGATCGTCCAAGGCCAGGCCGACCCAGGAAGACTACCAGAGTGGAAGATAATGCCCTGGCACGTCTTGTGCGACGTCAACCCTTCACCACAAGTGGCGTATTGAAAACCCTTTCAAACAGAGCTGTGAGGAACAGAACAGTGAAAAACCGCTTGAAGTCGATCGGCATGAGGCACGACGGGTAATTAAGCGTCCAGCACTAACTAATCTTCATAAAAGAGCCCGTTTGGATTGGTGTTTGGCCCGACGTCAGACGTCATGGAGAAAGGTCCATTGGTCGGACGAGAGCCGTTTCCTTTTACAGGTCACAGATGAACGTCAACGTGTTTGGAGGACCAAAAACACTGCGTATGTGAGAAGAAACATGCAGGGTTCAGTTCCGTTTGGTGGGAGGTCAGTTATGGTCTGGGGATGCCTTTCCCATGACTGTAAGCTGGATCTTGTCACGGTTCGGGGTAATCTCAATGGCGGTCTATACATCAGGTACATCAGGGACATCAGGGACATCCTTGACCCCGTCCTTGTACCTCATTTTGACAATCATGCTTCAGCTACTCGTCCTTTATTCATGGATGACAACACTCGGCCTCACCGTTCCCGTGCTGTGAAGGAGTATCTCCAGAACAACGCCTTCACCCAACTCCGCTGGCCTGCTACGAGTCCAAATATGAATCCTTTAGAACATGTCTGGGACATTATTGGACGTCGAATAAAAAAACTGGAACCTCGTCCACAGAATCTTGCTGGTTTATAGGCTGCATTGCATCGTGAGTGGCAGCTGATGCATTTGGAACGACTTCGACTACTCACTGGAGCATGCGAGGAGAAGGGTCGACGCCGTCATCCGGGCTCGTGGCGGGTATACTGCCATTTTGTTGGTGATTTGTCTTCTTGATACCTAACATAACACTTTCCCAGAAATGAACTTATCTGTGCCTTTGTCGATCTCCACAGCACCAAAGTTGTATCGTGGAACAATTTTGCTGAAATTCCCACTTCAGAGTCACATGTCTAAAAAGATTAAAACATGTTATCACCTTTTACCATTGTGTGTTATTCATTACTCAATAAGTTCAACTTTCATGATAGAGTAGTGTTGGACCCATTCCTGACTTGATATGATGGCAGTTTTACATCACACTTATCCAAAGTTGGCAAAATCGGGTGTCGCTTAATTAATTTCCATGTGTATATTTCAGCAAAACCAAGTACCTATGTTATATAAACACACTATGAATGCGGATACTTCCATCAAACTACATATTAAATGAACTGGTGAACATTTTGCAATATCCCACACAATCCAGTAAACAGTATTTGAACGGGGTTTTCTGAGAATTAATGTCGGGAAATGATGTCAGATAAAATGAATTGGTCCCTTGAAGCTAAATTCCTTTGAGTTTACGTCCAAAGTGTGCATCCTTTCACACTTTCAACTACCTTCCGTTCTCTGCTCACTCTCCGACCTGTTGTGGTTGGCATGTAGCCAGAAAATGTCTACCCAATAGCCCTTTACATGATCACACGATCTGCACAACCATGCATGTACAGCTTCCTGCACTTGAAAGCTGGTGCAAACAACGGCCCTTGTGTAACAAACTGAGGTTACTGTCATTATATATAGATCAGTTTAATTCAGTCATTAAATTTTCATCAAAAGATAAAATTAACACGTCAGTGTACGCAATACAACGTAGTACATGTGTACTAGCTGAGGCACGCAATACAACGTAGTACATGTGTACTAGCTGAGGCTTGTTCAAAGTATCTAGTCACATGAAAATGGACTGCTGAGAAGAGTAATGCAGAGTTCATTGTTAATACACTGCCATAAGTAGAAACACAGGCATAACCATGGTTTTATTGTCTGGTCAGTAATTGATTTAAGTCAACAATGCTTTGAGTAGTTACAGTTACTTCACAGTAGAGTAAGAAAGTTAAGTGTGATCAGTCTTGCTACCCATGTGCGGTGCAGTGCCGTGCAGTGTGCGCGCAATCATCACAATATTTGAGATTCAAACCAATGACCAGCACATCCGGAAATTAAAGGGGCACAACCATGTACACTGGCCATGGAGCAGTGGGAATCTGTTCTCCTGTTACTCCTATCTGGAAACAATGTACTGAAGGACTGAGTGATGGGATCCAAGGACGTGTATACTACACTAATGTTGATTAGAGTGAATGAATGTCCAGGCACAGAGTGAGATGACTGTATGTGATGGTATTTGCCATGCAAAAAGCATTCCACAGTGCCTTGGAACTTCTCGATTTCATTATCATTACTTTATATGAATGTAAAGTAATGTACATCAAAGTACATTAAACAGCCGTTTTAATGTTTGTAACAAGATAAAGTATCTTGGTATCCTTTTCCAAAGCTGAATGGTATTGAACCGTTCACCCCATCTCTGATCTCGGTCAGCTCCTGCAGGTATAGGAGCAAGCATCTCTTTCATGTACTGAAATAGGGACACTTGGACAAACTGTGGACTCCTTTGCATGGACCTTAGACATAGCTTCATTTAGGGAACTATGTCAGTCTAGGTTTGACACTGATGTCATGGGTCATGTCTGAACAAAGAGGGGCCTGTAACAAGGTCAGTGTAGACAGCTGTGACCAGAGCCAAATGCCACAGGTTTCAAGCCATACTTTTATCATACTTTGCCATGTGAGCCTAACTCCATCCATTAAAATGTATTGAGTGCATTTATTGATGAGTGAGTGAGTTAGTGGGGCGAGTTTTATGCCACAGGGGGAGGGAGGGAGAGAGAGAGATAGAAAGCAGAAATGGGCTTCACACAATGTACCCATGTGGGGAATTGAACCCGGGCCTTTGGCGTGACTAGTGAATGCTTAACCACTAGGCTACCCCACTGCCCCCATGTCTTGAAGTTTGCTGGAGAAATTATACTACTCAATATGGATGACCGACTCTGGCTCTACATTTAGACTCAGTGCCACATAGGAAATTGATAACGTGTAACAAGTGTACACATCATCTGACAGTCTCATCATATCATATATGTAGCAGAAAAAGGGATTTTGCATGACCTGAATAAATCTTGCTCTGGCTGTCTATTGGCAAATAGAAAGAAGATATATTCAAGTTCATATTTCCTCAGCCAAGACATCATCTACAGGCACACCAATGATCCTTGCAGACCTGAAACTGGTTATTTCCCAAACCCAGTAACTGTCACAAGTCCTATGGCTTAATTCATCAAGCAAACAATGGTCAAGTTAATTATTGAGAGAATGTTTCATGGAACAAATTTGAATGCATGACCCAGAATGTGTTCTATGTCTGATACAAATTATTTTTCCTCAAATTTTGAGATATACCCTCTACACAAAAAAGATGAAATTCCTTCATTAAGTTTGCCTCTTTTTGTCACATATTCCTGTGGTTTGTCCATATAATCAACTGAAGCTTAGACATTTGGTGTTGAAAGTTATCTTTAAGGTTTTTACAGAAATCTGCAGAGACTAGATGGACTTTACACTATTGCCAGCAAGGATATAACTTTGCCTTGTGGAAAGGTTGGATGAATATAATGGCAACAGACAGCATATAAATAAAAATAGAATTGGTCCAGTTTAGTTAAAGTATGAAATGTTGAGAAATCAGGTCAGCTGATTTTGTTGGATGGAAAACTTGCAGGGCATTAACCATACACGAGAGAAAAGTTTTCATGGAAACAATTTCTTCATTGCTCAAACATGGGTTACTTCTGACTTTTCCTGTGATGTTTGTGGAGACATGCCAACAACCACATGGACATAGTGTCAATCACAAAATCAATGCATCATGTTAACGCAAGGGTATAAGATGACACAAGAAACCCCAATCTGTGTGATAGTAGGTCCATGTTGCTCCTGTATATTTCCACGATTACTCTGTGACTGTTACCCATACTGGGTGGACAGGTTAATAGTATGCCAACTTATACTTTTACTGCTATCTCACCTTATTGCCATAAATTACTCAAAGTGTAAACACTTGTGCAACATTTGAGGTCTACATGCCTGTCAATGATGGGCTCTGAACAATGACTGACTGACTGAGTTTAGTTTTATGCTGCTTTTAGCAATATTCCAGCAATATCACGGTGGGGGACACCAGAAATGGGCTTAACACATTGTGCCCATGTGGGATTCGAACCCGGGTCTTCGGTGTGACGAGCCAACGCTTTAACCTTTAGGCTACCCGACCACCCCTCTGAACAATGAAGTGATCAAGGTTAAGATAATTGATGAACACAACTGGGAACATTGACGTGCATCAACCAGGTCTGAGTCTGACCTATGTTGCAAGGGTATGATGGAACACATTACCCATGGGTCTGTTCCACAAAGGGATATACACTAACGTGATCTCAACACCCAGATTTTAATATTGTCTCACAATCCTTATACTAACATTGCTTTGTAAGAGCCTAAGTTGCTGAGTCTGACCACCCAATCCATAGGACCACTTCTTACAACCAGCACAGCTATACATCTAACCAGAATCTGAACAAGAAAAAAGAAATAAAATGCGGTCAAATTCAAGTAATTATTTTCATGATGCATTCATTTTGGAATCATTGTGAATGTGTATAAAAGCATGTTCCTCAGAATTTGGGTTGGCTTAACCCGCCATTATGATATCTTCTGTCAATCCCAGTGTCCACCACATTCCATTCTCTTCCTCCACTGGTAAAATACAACATTAACAACAATGAAACACCAAAGCCATATCTTAATAAAAATAATTATACATACAAAATTTCATCTCCTCCAATAAATACTTACATGCTGATTAAATAGTGACTGAACCAGAACATTCATGTAGAAACTGGCTCACCATAAATGAATTGGTCAGTGAATAATTTACCACAATAACTTATGACACAATGGTCAACCTGGCTTCAGGAAGAGTGCAGGGGAAAAGGTGAAAGTGTCAGAATATCAAAAATGAAACAAATTTGTAGATCTGAATGTTTATTACTGAAAATTTCAGAGCATCTTAACATACACTTGATCTGCCCTCAAGACAGGAAAAAATATATTTAAGTAGAACATGTGTAGTATTGTGTCATGTGACTTTGTACATATGTAGAATGATTCACATGTCAAATGATCGGTGGAAGAGACACCTATTTGAGACACTGATGGTGCCACTTGCTGAAAATAAGTTTTACAATGCACTGATTTCATTCATTCAGGTATGGAAATGTTAACAGGTAATAAATAACTAACAACAATCTCTGGAGTCGGATATTGCTGAGGAAAACGGATATTAAATTTACATTATTCAATAAATATATCACACATTTGAAATTAGATTTAGGGTTTGTAACATCAAACTGTTTGAAATGATGAACTACTAAAATCAAGGACAATATATTTCTGAATATTGGATCTGACAGAACAGGCTGAAAGAATGGTTTATAAGGATCAATGACTCCTGAAGCCAGGTTTTCAACGTCAGGTAACAAAGGAGTACCCCTAGGTAGTGATGGTGACTGCCAGTGAGAAGGCTACAGAAAGCAGTCAGCATCCCAACAAGCAGTGACAAGAACTGCCGGTGAGTGGAGTACTGCAACAAGACAGTACCCATTCACAAGTAGTGTACATGACTGCTGGTGATGGCTACTGCAACTAGTCACCACCCACAACACAAACATAATGACTGCTGGTGAAAGAGTACTGCAACAAACAGCACACATCCACAAGTAGTTATCATGGTCCGTGTGGTGCTGAAACAAGACAGTGCCCCTTCAAGCAGTGATAATAACTGCTGGTGACATGGGTACTTCAACAAATCAGAACCCATCCCACAAGTAGTGATGATGACTGCTGGTGTGTCTTACTGAATAAAGTCAGCATCCCCTTAGCAGTCATGATGACTGCCAGTGACAGGGGTATTAACAGTAAGATCTATGACATGATGGAAACAAATGCTGTTGCTAGTGACATGACCTGAAGTTATAGTGACTGTGGCCAATCGTTGTGACACGGCAATAGGAATGTACAGACATTTACAAAACTTCCTAGCAGTAATTAAATACAAATGGCAGTTCAACTTCAGACCAAATATTAGGCCTCCTCTGGCCCATTATGAAAAAAAAAAAGAAAAAAAGAAGAAGAAACAATATGGCTGTTGTGTTGACCACACAAGAAAGTCTATGCAAACTAAAAAGGTAACAGCTATCTACATAAAGTAACCAAACATGTACAAAATGTCACAAAAAATATGCAACAATACTGACGAACAGATCATCAGCCCACTCCTATGTAAAATTGATCAGCTATCTTCAAAATATTTAATTAATAAGCAAATTAATATGGAAAGCTTTCATGCAGATAAGTTAGGCACCCTGCATTTGTACAAGATTCTGGCACGCATGTTTCCAAACTAGATAAATTAATGCATTCAATCTGTACAAACTTTACCCGCTCTTTTCATTTCCTAACAGTTGAGCAATAGTTCGTGCAAATCAATGTTCAGAACAATACTAACTTACGAGGTTACACATCAGTTTCAGGATTTTATAAGGTATACAATCATAAATAATAACACCTAAGTCAAATTTCATGGTAAAAGAATCTGTGCAATAATATAGACTGCAAAATAAATGTGCAACATTTCATGCGGGCACCAGACCAGATGATTATGGTTTAGACTTCTGACACAAAATAAACAGTCATAATAAGATATGACAAAATCAGCAAAAAAACACGACCAAGAGAGATCTGGGAGAAAAGTTTTACTGTCTGAGAAGTCTTTCATTCTCATTTCTCAATATGGTGCACACATTACATTCTTAGTTCGCTTAATGGTTTCTACAGTCTCTCAAACACAACAAGCAACATGTCTCCTAAGTTCCCAGCCTTGGTTTCTTGCTGATTATGTCTAAAACATAAGAAAAACATTCAAGCTTAAGTAAACCTATACACTCTTTAATGAAATCTCATGAGATGCTTGACTTAGTTCAAATAAACCGAGGCAGCAATGGTTCATGTAAATTGAATATGATACAGTGAAAATACTAGAAACATATTGACTGACGGCTCACCACACAACTGAAGAAGGTAACAAAGACACATCACATGGAAACGCCCATCTTGCCACAGGCAGAGGATGAACGTGAGTAAAACACAAAATCCCAACAAAATACTACCAGCTAAGGAATTGTTCATCGACAAGTCCGACAAACTCAACACAGTAGTATATACACGTAGTCCCCAGACCACTGCAGTACAACTGGGTCAGTAATGTCTTATGAGGTAATGAGGGAGGGAGGGAGAAGAGGGGTTGTCTCCCCTTAATGATTGCCTTCAATCAAATTAGCTGTAATACCAAAATACTGGCTCTGGTGCTCTCTCTGCGCCCAGGCCAAGGTAAATACCACTACAAGTTCCGTGTCAAAATATATTCATACAATTCTACAAAAAATGCCCTGAGACCAGTTTTTTTTATCTCTGTCTTATGAAACAGGTGCAATTTACAAAGCCATGGATGAGGAGCAACTGTATGAACAGGCGTGACAGACAGCGAGAGGATACTATCTACAACAGTGGTTAAACAAATTGGAGCAGCCCACGGTAGTTAGCCCAGTGTGTGTGCGCATCCTTAGCTTCCACAATAAGCCAGGTGAAAACATGCATAGAGGGTTTATATGAAACACAGCAGTTTTAATACTGAGGTATTTGGTGAAGTATCCAAGGCAGAAGTTTCAATGGTTGAAGGGAATACACCATATGGGTTCTGATGAATTCACTGGGTTTTGAGAGCAGCCCACAAGACACTGAGCCACAGTTAGTGACAGCCTCCCTGAAGAGACAGTTGGAATGATGCAACGAGTCAATCCGTCCATTCGGGCATGGTCAGAAGAGTGGGTGATGTTGCGTGAATGCTTATTTGTCCAAGGGCCTGTATATAGCCCCCTGTAGCACAAGTGACCACAACAATTCACGCTGAGGTATCAAATGCCATCGCACTCCCCAGAATGAAACTTGTACATGTACATGGACTCATGGAGGTGACAGTAACATATTGGTGAATGGAGGCAGGTGGGTGGCCATCACTTTTGATTGTAGCACAGAGTGTATGTAGTCAGAGCACTTTGTTCAAGAATTCTCCTCTTTATCTTCGCCACCCCCATCTTCACCTGTTTCCACATTTCCCTCAGAACTGGACTTGCTGTCCAAAGCCAGAGGCTCATCTGGTACAGATTCAACTGGACTCTTAACAGATTTCTCTGATTTTTCTCCTTTACTTTTTGTGGGCTTACTGTCACTTTTGTTGGGAGAACTTTCAGAGGGGTTGTCGTTTGGTTTCTTGTCGATTTTCATAACCTTGTCTTTCAAAGTATCCACAATTTTACTCAGTTTTGATGATCCTAATATTTTGGGTTTGTTCATCATCCTTTTGACTTTGTCTTCTTTGAGTTTACTGTCAATACTTGATTTCACATCTGGTTTGGTTTTAACTGAGAGATCTGTAGCATGATCTTGTAACTTATGAGACCTTTCCTTGGAATAACTCTTTTCACGACTGCTCTTTTTCACAGACAAATCATGAGGTTCACCACGAGAGGACTTCTTGGTAACAGAGAGATCCTCTGCTTTGTCCTGAGCAGCTTCATCATCAACATGTCTTGCTTCCTCCTCCGACTCAGACTCCAGCCGCCCATTTAGTGCACCATGTTGAGCCATGGAGGCAAAGGACGAGGACATATTTGATGGGAGGGGAAAGTTACGAAGACTCTGGGCAGCCAACATAGGATTATACAGTAGTGGGTTGTAGTAGAATGCTGATGGGAATGAAGGGTGTGGCGCTGCTGATGTTGATGTTGAGGATGATGAGGACGAGGACTTATCACTTTTACGTCTTTCCCTACCCTCACCCTTCTCTGAGTCTTTCTCTTTAGTTTCAGTTTCTGACTTTCCAAGAGCAGAAGCCATGGGCATTCCCGGTAGGCCAAAGCCAGCAAGTCCAAGCATTGGGTTAACCATTCCCAGGTTAGGTATTGCACCAAAAGGCAAATTCAGAGGTAGTTTAGGATAGCTTCCCAAAAGCCCGGCTCCCGGGAAGGCGGACATTGCCGCCATGGACATCGCAGGGTAGCCCACTTCTCCACCTAGGAACGATGGATGGAGCATACTTTCTCTTGGTTTACGACCTCGTCCTGAGGGTTTTAGCATCCGAGAATCCATACTCTTTGGTAGTGTGCCCTGAAACAAGAGGCCACTTTAGCAGACAAAGACAAAGCTCATTTCAATTACGTATAATGTATTTAGACAAAAATGACTATACTGCATTTTCTTAATTCAATTTAATGTAGTCCTTTTCAAAATTAATGTATGAAATCGTGTTTAATAGCTGAGGAAAATAATTCATAATTCTTAGTTTGAATTTCATTCACTGAAGAATGAGTAAGTTTTAATGCCACTTTTAACAGTCACCCAGATATATCCCAGCACACAAGAGAGTAAGAAGCAACTTTTAAACAGGGTACAGACAAGTCACTGGCTCCACCACACACACATTAAAGGTGTATAAATAGCTGACTTGTTTCCACCATTCAGGTTAAGATTTAGTATTATCAAAGCACTTACCTTAGCCCGAACCAACTCACTCCACTTAGCCTCCACATCATAGGCAGGGTTCTGTTCCAGCCACTCCGCAAGGTGTTTAAGTGGCGGAGCCTTGGCTCCCGTAATCTGAAGGTACATTGACATTCATCAGAGACAAGCAGTAAATGACAATAAATAGTATTCTTAACTTTTCATCATTTGATATAAGTCTCACAATTTAAACAAAGTAATTAAAAGGAACACATCCTAATAAACATTCATACTCCTTGCATACGTTAGCATATATTGGTTAGCGTATATTTCATATTGTACATGTGACGAAGCAGCTATATGTCACTATATCATGCAATTATAATGTATTAGATGCAAATCTAGCATAGAATGTAAGTATCTATTTCTGGCAATTTAACTATTCATGCAACAGGTAACTGAGGTTAAAAATGTTCATTTGTTAAGTAATGCATAAGAATTTCTTTCCAATAATACACTGATAACACTTTCCAATAATATATTGACAAACACTTTTCACAACTCCTCTGTGATCGCATACAGTGATAAAACCGTAATTGCACAGCACTAAAGTGCAACAATCATGTGCAGTCATGCAAAATGTAACATCAGCCAACAAAGAGTAAGCTCAACATATCCATACGTGAATACCTAATGATTATTGAAATAATTAACCTGGACCTCCAAAGATCCAACAAGCCCAAGAGTTGTTCCCCTTGATCCTCCTCTCACCTTTTTGCCTGTTTCTCGATCTACAACCGAGACATTTTCCTGCCCCGTAAGACTTTCTACATCCAAAGTTCGGGGATCTACCCGTGGACGCCGCCCCCTTCCCCTGGGCCTATCAAAGTGCTCCTGAAATGCGGGACAATGCAAATGGCATACTGTAGCAACAACAGAACCGCAAAAAGAAAAGTCCTGAAAGGCTGGTGCCTCCATGCAGTGTGCAGGGTTCTCCCTGCTGCGGGGCACATGGTTAATACAATATCTAACATCACAGACAAAGCACTGAAGAAAATGGTTTGGAAAACGTATGGGTTCTTTGTGGATTTAATTACAAAGTGAGCACAAGAGGCAAATAAACAGGAGAACACTGCACAAAACTAAGTAAGCTCAGCATTCAAACAATCACTACTATTAAATGTCAAAGCAAAGCTGAAACGAGCCTAACAACACACTGCTTTCATCATGTTTTTTATATAACTTTTTAATATAATTTTTGTTTAAAACATCAAATTTCTGACACCTTTGCTCTTCACTTTATACTTCCTTGTTAAATACTTGTTAATGTCTATATAGTATTGCTGTGTTTCTGTTCACCACGAAACATGATATCTTGGCAGTTAATATCTAACTTAGTAGCAGGGCTTTTAGAACTGACTCGTCTTGGTCAAGAACATTTGATACTTTATGTGTTTCATAAAAGGTAAAATTGAATATTTCTGTCAAATTTGATGTGTGTGTACATGCAGAATATCAAACAAAAATATAGAAGCACAGTTATAAAAGCCCTTGCGAGCATGCAGTAAATAAAGCATTACAATACAAGTCAGTTGTCTACTGTAAGCTTAAGAATTTCAAGCCTGAATCACAGCCATGTCAAATAAAGCAAAATAAGCACACAACACAAACCATTGGTGACATGTGGTGGGTTATCTCCCCTGGTTCTTCCTCGTCAACGGCAAACTCAGACTGGTCAATGATATAGTTAGGATGTGTCATGAGCCATTGTTCAAGGTCCTTCTTCCGAGGGGCTTCTTCTCCAGACAAACGACTTCCATCTTCAAGACAGATGACAGGAATTCGTTGATCTGTGATCAAAGCACATTTTGAACAGTTCGAATAAGAAATGTACGTAAAGACAGATTATGTACAAGATGTTTTTCACACAAGCAGGCTAGTGTTATAACATCTCATATAAATTTTTTCAGAAGTTTTATCCTGATCAGTGATTAAACCATGAACTAATTACTGTCACAGAAAGACAAGGACAGAATATCCACCTGGATCTATACTGGCAAGAATCCTGGCCTGATGGCGTTTAGCAATAGCTTCAGCAAGGGCAACCTCAGCCATCTTTTCAGCCTTACGTTTTCGACCTCGGCGTCTTTTCTCTGGCAACAGGCCTTGTTCAATCTAAAAAATTAATACACATTCAAATTCATTAATAAAATAATACTTCATGTAGGTCTGTTGACTATGTTAACTAATGGAGGTCAGATTGATATAATCATCAACATGGTTGAGAAGCAAGTCAACTTGACATCAGAACTCCTCCAGGTTGATCTAGCGTGACTGTTCAAGTTTTATTGCTTAATTTTCATATGGTCTGTGTCAAGTTTTATGTTATTATATGTGATAGCAATTGCAATTTGGAATGGAAATGACAAGTCATTATCATTATAGCAATTATAGTTCATGATTTTGTTTGTTGCCAGCACCAGCTTTAACTGCCATGTTGTGCAAGTTTTCCCCAAATCTTCAACAGTTTTGAGTTGTGTTCAGTGCACAAAGTTATCTCTGTTTAACAAACATTCATCTCACATTTATTATAATCAAGTGAAAAAAATATCCCTGTTAAACACCAATAGACAAAAGTCATCACTCACCAGTGTAGCAGTGAGCTGACTTGGGTCAAGATCAGCTGCATTACTGCCATTAAGGAAGCTGTCTGTGAGTGCCTGTAAACGATACTTGGATCATTCAGCATCATACACTGAACATATCAAATACCTACCCTAATGAAGAACATTTACCATAAACCATCAAGAGTAATTTTTCAACAAACTCTAGTGCCCCCAGTTTCTGCTTCAAATTCATTAAAGAACAGTATACCCTCATGGTTAATACAGGATTCACAAAAATCTTTTAAAAACATCACTGCAATGAAAATATGTTTCTAATACCTGTATATCATGCATTGAAAGAATGACAATGGCAACCCAAACCTTTAAAAAATATCCCAAAGACTGAATTTACACATAGACATTCTCCTGGGCTTTAGCTCAAGCACCTAACAAGTTCTGTCCAAAGCAATTTGCCTAAAAATGCCCCCTCTCAACTACATTTTACAGGACACCTTGTAGGTACAGCAGAAACTCTGCTTTAACAGCAGCAATAACCTAGGACAAGCATAATTCTACTTTGAAGTATCCCAGTGAGGGGACATGATGCATGGATATCTACATACTGAAGCCGAGCCTGGTGTTGAGCCTGAGAGGTTCATGGCCGACTCTGACTGGCTCTCATTGTCGCTGGAGGCTGCACTGGTTGCTCCCTGAGTGCTCTGGTTCAACAGCTGCTGTACCCTTGCAGCTGAAACATACACGGTTGACTGTAGCCAGGAGACACACTATTAGACTTAGTACATCATTAATTAATGTCAGCTACCACTTGATACTATTATTGAAGACCCTGAAATGTGCAAAATCCGTATTTATACTACTCACACTTTGCTAAGGATCACAAAAAATCCCAACTTTACTTAAACATAGATTTATAATTTGAAATTGTATCCATTTAAAACTAGATAAATAATGATATGGTAACCCCTCTTTAGGCAAATAGCCATTTTAATCTAACTTGATATTTGAGTAACCATAAAAATGTTTCTTATGGCACCAATCAACTATTTTGCAAATCATGGAACGAGTCATTGACAAGTACACAACACCTGTGAATAGCAGGTATGGGATCCACAAGATGCAGTGACATACTGACACCTAGGATCCATGCTTACAATAAGCTTAGATATTTAAACCAAATTATACCCCACATCATAGTTTTCTGTTGAATCAATTGTTTGATCCTTAGCAAAGTGTGAATAGTATATATCTCAAGTTCAAATTTCATGAGCTGACACAAAATGGCTTGAAAATATTTCATTCACTATTTTCAAAGGTTACATATGTTCCATGGTAATACATTAAAATAGTTACCCAACAGCTTGCTTTCATGTCCCCTGTCAGAATCGATTTCATATCGCTTCTTCCGGCCTCGGCCACGTTTATGGAATGTCATCTTCAGACCTTCACCCTGAAAAACAGACAAGCATAAATGACCATGAGCAAGAATAGTCCACAGTTATCAAAGTAAAATGATGATTAACATTATTAGATTCATTACCATTACTGATTTCTTTATGTGATATGGAAAAAAATTTCAATAGTTAATCTTATATTTAATACAATAACATTAAAATTCAATTGAAAATGATTACATTACAGACAATTAAAATCTCAAAGAAGATAAAGAAGCAGCAAAAGCAGAGTGAGGTGACTTCAGTGACAATGTGTCAAGATTGCTCTATCATTCAACATACATATTGTTATTATATATACTTGTCGTGGATTGGAAATAGGAAGTTGCACTTTAGTAACAACTGCAAGTTATTTGAGCATGTGTGAATGACCAGATGATGCACAATGACGTATGATGATTGGGTGTTAAGCACAGCGCATGCTGCATAATGCCAGTCAATGGAAGCACAGAAAGCTGATCATTCCGTGCTCGATGCATTCAAGGATCCGAAGGGAGTGCTGGGCTGTGCAGCCCCTTTAATAAGCATACTGAATATCCATACACTTGCAAGGTTTTATAAAGATGAGCTTTATAAACAGAGGTTAAATGCTACTATGGCAAATTTTGAGTTACGTTATCAACATCTATTGAAAGTAGTTTGTTTACACCTTACTGACTTTGCACAAATATATCAACTTCGGTATTGAATAGGTTTGTTCAGGGAATAAAAGACTTGACCACCTTATTGCCAATTCAGGATAAAATGCAGTATTTGTTGATTCTCAGGTTCTTTAAGCACACAAGATTGTCTATTTTAAGATAGAACTATAGCCTATATGTGAATGCATGTATAGCTCTGTGGATGAAGATGACTGTTTGCATGTCTTTTTCTCTAACTCTTGTTAACTGGTTACATCGGCCCAGTAACACCACACATTACCTTCTACCAGAGGAAGGACAAAATACACACGGAAGCTCAACCAAAACAGCCCAAATGAATTCACGAAACGAAAGGACATAACCCAAAACAAAGAATAATCAGCAGTTAAAGCTGTCACAAGCAACAGTGTCTAATCCAGCAACTCCATCAGTCAAGATTTGTTTATAAATATTCAAATTTTTTTTCTCAGCAGGATTATCCTGGGAAAGACACTGGTGAACGTGCAACAAGTGGCAGGTGGGTGTTTGATCTCCCTCAGCAGTGACAGCAGCAGCCATCAGCGAGCCAGCTATCCCGGCAGCAGATTATTTGAGCCTACCTCAGACACATGTACCTCAAAGTCCTTATCATTGTCACCACTTATCCTCATCACCTGCGGCGTTGGAGCTTCCAGTAAAGAGTCAGCAGCATCTGAGTCCATAAACGATCCATCACCCTTCGGAGTAGATGATCCCACAGGTGTGGCACTTCTTGAGTCAAATCCTGCTGATCCAAAGAAGGGAGGTCCTCCTGCAGATCTGCGAGCAAATGGCCACTCCCCATTCTCCACTGTGTAGCAGATGTGTTCCAACCGGTGGAAAATAACTCGATCCTTAAATATAAAGTGCTGTTTTCATTAGGAGTCGTCATAAAAATGTTAAATTCACTTTACATACTCAACTTTCTAAAGATTTAATACATACCTTTGGCCAGTCAACAACTGTTCCCAGAACACTTCTTCCCGAGTAGATCTCTCCAGGTTCAGGGCCATCCATGTCAAGGTAGCCAGACTCATCATGGCCATAATATGGCTGAAATACATGAAAAAGGTCTCAATTTAGGGGTGAATACAGCTTTTGGAGAAAGGGGTGGTGCACACTCTTGAGAAAGAGGGGTCGCACACTTCATTTTCACAAGGGTTTCAATGATCATTTAATAAACTTTCAGGACAAAAGAGGGGGTGCACACACCCTCTGGATCTGCCTATGCAATTCAATACATAAACTTGGTATATGGTATGATCTTAATATAAAATGAACTATAAAAATGTTGATCACTGGGGAATATCTTCTTCAAAAAGAGAAAATTAGACAAGATGCATAAAATGAGCGATAACAGCTTGACAGTCCATACCGGCAAGTTGTCCTTCATGAGTTCTTCCTCCATCTTTCTCTCCTTCTTTACATCATTGATTATTTCCTGAACCTTCTCTTTCACAAGGTCTCGCTCATCCGTTGACTTTTCTTCTTTCATGTCTTCATCTGTCACAGCACTTTTCTCTTCCTTCACAGGACTCATCTCTTCTTTCACTTCACTCTCAGATTCCTCTTTCACACTTTTCTCTTCCTTCACAATATCCTCCACTTCCTTGTCACTCATCTCATCATCTTCATTTTTCACTTTCTCTTTTAATTTCACAAATGCTTTATCGTCTTCCAAATCCTCTTTCTCATTGTTTTCTTCGCTTTTCTCAGGAGACATTTCCTCTTTGATTTCTTCCTTTTTCATTGTCTTTCCCTCCACATCACTTTCACCACTCAACTGATCATCACCATTAATTTTCACTTTCTCATTGTCTTCATCACTTGGAACTTCTCCATTCTCATCTTTCACAACCTTTTCATCCTCCTCTGTCTTATCATCTTTTACATCATCATCTTTTACATCAGCACTTTTTTCTTCATCACCCTCTTCTTTTTCACTCTTAGTGTCTTTTGAGGCTTCATCTTGCACTTCACCATTCTCAGACTTTACTGTCTTCTTCTCATCCTCAACTTCAGGCTTCTCTTCTTTTGAAGGTGTATCTGTGCAAATAAACACCAAGTAAGGACAAATTCTCATCATTTCATGACACATGATCAGGAAAATAACCTCATGATTAATGATTACAAATAATTTCAAATATATATTAAGAAAAGTTTAGGTACAAGAATATTGGAGACCGGGCTTGGGTTAAGATGAACTTAATGCTTACAAAATGTAAGAAGTCGAGGAGAACCAATGTGTTTAGCATTCTTCAGTTATGCAGTTTTGACTACTCACTGAATCCCCTTGCCCCCAAAGGAAGCCAAGAATTTCTCTGTATTAGAGGGGCAATTAACATCATCAGAATGCTTTCAGCCTCCTACTTCTGAGGCAGCAATATAACCACTCACCTGGCATCCCTGGTACAGGCATTCCACTGTACGGGGACATCATCTGGTACGGGTTGTGTTGGTGACGCAGGTTCTTGGCCTGAAGCATCTCATGGAAGGAGAAGTGTAGGATCGCGGAGGATGTGGTAGTCCGTGCGAGCTACACCATGCCTGGGAAATAACAAACCATGTACTGGATGATAACAAGTCACAGGTGATAACTTTTGACATCATTCCATCATAAGCACCACAGACGAAATGTTACAAACAGTATTCTAATATTTCTTGACTGTTTTTATATAAAGACACAATCTTTCTTCTATAGATCCATAATGTAAAATCTACAGAGACTAAGTGAGGTCATATATCATTTGAAACAACATTCCAGGGCCTAGATTTTCGAAGCTCTCTTAGCGCTAAGATAGTCGTAAGTTAATGTTAATGTATGGCACTTACGACTATCTTAGCGATAAGAGAGCTTCGAAAATCTAGGCCCTGGGCTAATGTGAAAGATTCAACACTGGAATGGACTGTACTCAGAAACACAAATAAATGTTGTAGAATATCCTACCTTGCTGCCCCGATAAGCAGTTCCTTGTCATGTTTTCCACACTGCCACCAAGATGGCATGTCGAAGGACGGCTGACATAGTTTGATATGTTCATCTAACTTGGGATTGACTAGGATCTCTTCCCGGATTTTGTTGAGGAGATCAATGCGGGCTAGACAGCGACTGGCACGTTCCTCTGTGATAGGATCAACATACACAGTATTTGGAGGCTTGGCTGAAAAAAAGAGAGATAAACTTTATAGCAGATCAAGAACTCGTATTGCACAACGGTTGCCTTAACCATAAATCAGATGATTCACACTACTCAACATCTGATAGAGTATCTTTTCATTCAGTATCAGAAAATAACAAGTGTTTGCCACTGATATGGCAATGTCCCCCGCCGCTAAAGAATGGAATATCTACATTTATTACTTTTTATTTTTGGGTCACATACAAGATGCCTGAAATGACTGGTGTCTGCATAATCACCCAATGTAGGCTATCAACATACTTGAAAACATTGGGTGCAATGTTTTATGAGATATCGCCTTAAAAAAGCTGTCAGTGTCATGGTGACCTTGAAAATAAGGTCAAGGTCACCTAAATAAACTGGTGTCTGCGTAATCCCCTAATGTAGGCTGTCACCAAATTTCAAGACATTGGGTACAACAGTTCATGAAATATTGCGTTAACAAGGGTTAAAAGTGGTCAAAGTGTCGTAGTGACCTTGAAAATAAGGTAAAGGTCATCCAAATCGACTGGTGTCTGCATAATCCCCCAATGTAGGCTGTCACCAAATTTGAAGACAATGGGTACAACATTTCATGAGATACCGCGTTAACAAGAACCAGGACGTACGTACACTGCTGAATACATAGTCCCCCGTTCCGCGTTGCTGCGGGGGACAACTAGTATAATGATTCTCCTTGTAGACAATGTTCATCTTTTCAGTAATACACATGGACATGATTAAAGTAGTTTTATCAATCTTACCTTCCTCAGGGGTCTTGAACTTGCCACAAACACGCTGACACATGTGGTAAAAAGCATGGAAGTATTCTGCCAAGGTGTCATCATACTTCTTGTCCAGTCTGGCAAAACATCGGGAAGCGGTCCCACCTGTACCTTCCAGTAGGCTTGTGATATTCCACTCCAAATGTTGACACAGTCCTGTAGAAGTCAGCTTCTTCACGCCTTGACCACCGACTAGAAGACAAATATTTATATCTAGTCATTCAAATGAGGACAAATAAGATATACAAATACCTATTTATCTCCTAAAAAATATAAACAAAAACAAGAAACACTCACTTCTGTAGGTACTCTTTCTTTTTGGTTTCTCTGATCTTGGTAACTTCCTCAGCTTTCGATCGTCTTTCCATTTTCTGAAAAATGACCATAACTTTTTTAGCATAGATAGGAAACTACAGTTGCTACACAATACAGTGATAGCCAAAGGACGCAATTTTATAAAAAACATTTGCTGCCTCAAGGTGAATGAGCCATCTGTACTCTCAACATTTCCAAAGTAAATACTAACAAATCTCCATAATATGCTTACATAATACATACATACATACACATATATATTAAACACACACCTTGGCCCTCTGCTGGAGTCGAAGTTGTTCTTTCTTGTGGTTCCTCTGATATCCAGTGATTACACGTCTCAGTCGTGTGTTCAACTCAGAAGGATTTGGGAACGGTAATTTGTCACCATCTGTAATATCCAAAATAGTTTTGAACTGAGGTTAACAAAATTTCAGGTATCTCTGTCTCTCATGTTTTATACTAAGACTAGTAATCCGGGGACCATGTTAAATTGTTCATTTTCTAAATGGCACAGAACATTTTACTTAACTTGGAAGAGTGACTGACTGAATGAGTTTAGTTTTATGCCATTTTAGCAATATTCCAGCAACATCACGGCAGGGGACACCAGAAATGGGCTTCACACATTGTACCCATGTGGGGATTCGAACCCGGGTCGAACGCTTTAACCACTAAACTACCCAACCGCCCCCTTGGAAGAGTGAACTACATGTACAAAGTACACAAACAGTACACATGAAACAGCATGTCTGGCAGCAGTAAATGTCTTACAATCTGTAGGCATTACAGGTTTGGTGGTTTTCTTCACAGACTCTGGTGCTGAGCTCTGAGACAGGTCTTCATCATCTTCATCGTCCTTGAGATTCATGGACTTATCTTCAAGATCATTCTCCTCGTCCCTGCAAATACCCAAATTCTTACTACACTTGCATAAATGGATGCAAAAAGGTTGTATACTCTCAAGGAACTAACAAAGAAAACTGAGAGAATACTCATCCTTTGACCATGGTGATAATGGTGCTAGCCCTTCAAACATGCTTCAAGGGATAGACTGTTCATTGTAGCTTATCATAAATATTCACTTATAATCATCAACAATGCACTCTTCAGTTATGCGAAACTTCAACTCATGGCTTAACCTTTTCTACCCAGCACATCTGGGTATCCAAGTATCTGTATTAGCATGGCAAGTCATCATGAGAATGCAGAGTTGAAAGCTAAAAGTCTTTAATAACAAACTTGGCTACTGTGCAAAAGTTCACTTGAGAGTGAGTGAGTGAGTATGGATTTACCGCGCTTTTAGCAATGTTCCAGCAATATCACAGCAGGGGAACACCAGAAATGGGCTTAACACATTGCACCTATGCGGGGAATCGAACCCGGGTCTTCAGCATGACGAGCAAATGCTTTAACCACTAGGCTTCCCCACCGCCAGTTTACTTACTAATTTATGGTACAATGTCAATCACAAGCCCAGCACTAACAGTTGACACCAATACCACTCTAGACTATCAATATATTCAACTGGCAATCATTTGAAACAAAACTGCTACACCTATCTGAGTGATGTATGTATCCGAGCAAAATATGAAATAAAATCAGAGTTCACTCAAATGTGACTTAGCATCATAAACTGGACAAAGTGATCTACAGGAATAAGATTGGACTTACTTCTCTCCATCATAATCATCATTCTGTTCTCTTGCCAGTGCTTCACTGTCAGGTGGACCACAACGATGAAGGAAAAGGAGAGCTGGGTCAGATCTCATCAAGTTGAACTTCTCATATCCTGCAAATGAAGATCACCCAATGTTCATTTATTTATCGTAACTGCTTGTTCCTAGTCAACAGTTTTGTATGAAGGTTAATTGTCATCATGAAATCTTAAGATACTGATTCTAAAACTGAAAACTAGAAAGTGTTTTTACTCGTAAAAACAGATGTCTCCCTTCACCCCCCAGAGAAAGTTCACGGTGTTTTATAGTAGTACATGCATATGGTTGATGCTTCTAAGTTTACTAATAATTGGTATTAAGTATACAAAATTTGGTGAAGATGGGTGAAGTGGTTTTAGAGTTATGCTCCGAACACAAACCCTACTATTCAGAAAGACCAAGTCCAAATTTGTTGCCATTGAAACAGAAAAAAAATAAAATTGAAAGATAAGTTCAACCCCCAAAAGGCACATTTACATTTATATTTAGAGGCAGCATAGCAAATTTGGTGAAGATGGGTCAAATAGTTTCGAATTTTGCTCCGGAAACGAACTTTACCCTTCAAATGACAAAGTCCAAATTGTTACCATGAAAACAGAAAAAAAATAAAATTGAAAAAACAACAACCTCAACCCCCCAAAAGGCACATCTACATGATATGGAGAGGCAGCATACCAAATTTGGTGAAGATTGTTCAAGTAGTTTTAGAGTTTTGTTCTGGAAACAATGGGAACGCTGATGCCAACGGCAACGCCGACAGAAACTCAACCAAAAACAATGTCCCCAACCCTTTGAGGGGAGACATAACTAGGCTGCTCACCATGCTTGAAAACACCAATAAGGAGTGATCTGTCTGATTCTTCATCCCACCACAATGCAGGCAGTTCCCCATCAGCACATGGAGAAGGGATATCAATTTCACTGAAAAATAAACACAACATTGAGAACCCTAATGAAATCAAGGACGTAAGTTGTCAAACTGCTTAGCTGGGCATTTCAGGAAATTAGATATGACCCCTATCCAAACAGTGTCAAGATCAACGACACATTTACTTAAACACTATCACAGCAAGAGTCACCAGATAAGGGCTTGTACTCATGTGGCAAATTCACATTTTATACCTGTAATATTTCACTTCATAATTCAGTTTCCTTATTGTGCAGATAAAAGAGACCATATATACACCTATTAATATGGAAATGATTCCAGGATTGCAGCTTACCTGGCAGGCACACCCTGGAAGACTCGCTCTACTTCATCCCCGATTACTTCTTGTTTGAGGTAGTACAGCAGGCGCACCCGCAGAAGCACCCTGGAGGAGTAACAAACTTTATAACAACAGACATACACGGTCTTACCACAGTTGATAACAGTTAGCCACCCTACTGGTTCTGGTCATGTCGTCTCCATGAAACTTAAGGTATCCTTTGGGCTTGTAGAAATTGCCATAAGAAGGTTTTCCAAAACATAATTATCATGTAATCTAGTGGATGAAATTATTTTCAACAGCACTGCACAAGATCTACATGTAGCATTCTAAAACCTTAGGTCCTCATTACTCACTTGTTTGAATGTCGGAACAGATGTCTCTTGTACCCATGATCCAGGATGGCATCAGGGTCAAAGTCGAGGGTGGACGTTTCAAATTCGGGGCCTTTGGAAGTCTGTTTCTGCTTCTTGCCCTTCCGGCCTCTTGGAACAGGGGCAGATAAACCTACACATAAAGGAATATTTCAGGTTATTGAAGTCATTCCTTCCAAAATTGGGGGCATACAAATATCAAATATATTTTAAGTTGTTAGACTGATTATCTGTATGATTCCATATGATAAATGTCACACTAGACAAACCTGAGTGATTTTTGAGCTGGTCTTCGTCATTTTGAGACACAAGATCCCAGATGAAGGTTTTGATTCTTTCGTCTCCCTTGTAAAACTGGAGGGAATGCACCAACTGTAACAAAATAATGGTACATATGATACTCTTCTTTGTGGCAAATGTTATCAATCTAAAATGTCAAAATATTTTGAAAGATTCTTTTTATCAATTAATAGGTAAAACATAAAATGGATGTAATTTTTTCTATAATGAACAGCTATATATCCTTTGTGATATCCATGGACTGATATGCATTACTAATACTTACAATAGCCTTTGCAATAACTTCAACATCCTTTTCTTCAAGTCTTCTCTTGAATCGAGCATGAGCAAGTATTTCTGACCATCTGCCCCAGCTGTGAACAATTAGCAGTTATTCATGTACAATCAGTAGTATTCAGAGCATTTCTTTTCCAAGAGATCCACTTTAAAGATGTTAGTTTTGTATTTAAAGGACTGACTGACTGAGTTTAGTTTTATGCCGATTTTAGCAATATTCCAGCAATATCACGGCGGGGACACCAGAAATGGGCTCCACACATTATGTCCATGTGGGGAATCAAACCCGGGTCTTCGGCGTGACGAGCCAACGCTTTAACCACTAGGCTACCCCACCGCCCCTGTATGTAATTCAGCTAGATGACAATGGTGTGTAAATTATTGCATCTGGACTAGACAATCCAGTGATTGACATTATGAGCATTTATCGACACAGCTGGGTTACAATGAAATGTATCATTCAGATCACAAGCCAGACCACCTGATTCTGAATGTGGACACTTACAACAAGCATAGGTTTCCAAAGAACAACTAACTCTGATAATCACATTACATGATAATGTAAGGTTATTATGAAAACTGGGTTCAAAACAAATCTAATCTTACCCATAAACAAGAAGGTTCTTCTCAACCTTGAAGCACTCTGATCTATGGAAGCCATCCCCTGCTTGATCATCAAGGGGATCAAAGTCGTCGTCATTACGATTCCGTCGGCGACCTCGCTTGCCCTTTCTTCCACTACGAAGACCCGAGACCTCTTCCTCTCCACCACTGTCTGATGAGGATTCAAGGTCACTTATTTCCATCATGGCATCCTCGTTACCATAGCGAGCTGTCTGTTTCCTCTGACGGGGCTCTTGAATAATCAGAGTATTCTGAAGAGAAGAGGAAATAGTTCAATTAATGTTGATTAGAGGCTCGGCAAGATACCTGTAGGGACTTCTGACATAATAATTTAGATATCAAGTACCTTCAGGTGTAAAACATAAAAATATTTAACAGGGCAATTATGACTTCCATACAAATACATACCAGACATACAACCAAGATACTTACTCTTGACTTGAGTTCATCAACATCGATGTCAGCCTTCTTTGCCCACTTCTGCCAGAAGTTTGGATCATTGATATCAATATCACTTCTGTTTGAGGACATACTGAAACTGGCCTGTAACACAGATTATCATCAATATCAACAAAAGCACATAATACCATTAAATGGAGTTGCAATTTAAGCTGCCAGTGTTAATTAGGTCAAGGATAGCTGAAAGGCCAGTTGGTTTCTGAGTGAGTTTAGTTTTACGCCGCACTCAGCAATATTCCAGCCATATGGCGGCGGTCTGTAAATAATTGAGTCTGGACAAGACAATCTAGGGATCAACAGCATGAACATCTATGCAATTGGGATATGATGACATGTGTCAACCAAGTCAGCGAGCCTGACCACCTGATCCCGTTAGTCGCCTCTTACAACAAAGAAGGGTTGCTGAAGATCAATTCTAACCCTGATCTTTACGTGTTTTGTGGATTTGAACTAGCAACACAAGAGCTTGGATTAACTCAACAATCAGCAAACAGTGAGTGGAGTAGATATCTCAGTCAAAATGTCAAATTACCAGCTACTGATGTAAACACTGTTACTTTCTTTATATTCATATTCTGTAGTATTTGTTACTGTGTACACTATCAGCATTATTCCAGCAAAATAATGCCATTTTGTAAATAATTCACTATGGGCCAAAGCAGGTAGACAGAGCAACATCCATGATGATTGTAACAGGACCAAGTAACAAAGACATACCCTCTGAGCCTCTAATATAAAGACAAACAGGCACTGACAGGTTCTAACCCAACCTTTGTACCAACGTGAGTGTTGACTAGGGGTGTCACGATACACCAATCTCACGATACGTCGATCACGATTTTAAGGTCACGATACGATACGTATCGCGATACATAATTTTCGCCCCTTTTTATAGCATTACCTTACCGGCAACGTATGCGCTCGCTGATTGGTCCATCAAAATAGTCTAGCCAATCACAAAAGCTGTTAGTTTCCAACCTATTTTTTAAGTAAAGCTAGTTACATCTATTTATCGGAGCGGTCTCGTATAATTTTACCATCAAGACTTTGACGGAGATGGATATAGCATAAAAATTTGAATCGATAAAGTTTTAAAATAGGAATCGATGCATGTATCGCGTATCGTATTGTCAGTAAAAATGTATCGATGCATCGATACATTAGCGTATCGCGACACCCCTAGTGTTGACATACCTTAGCAAATGTTGATCCCTTGCCCTCTGATTCTATCTGAATGACTTGTGTTCTTCTCTGCAGGATCTGATCAATGTCCTCCTCACAGAACTCATCCCCAGCCTTGTCGTCTTCCATCAGAGCTCCATAGGCACCTTTCTTCAACAGCTCCTCTATCTCTTTCTTCGACATCTGGGATTGCTGTAGAACATGAGTCCACGAGTGAGTGTTAGGATCACAATAAGCATTAATATGGTGGTGAACAATCCATTCTCAGCAGAAATACTTTCACTGTTCTCTCATGGGAAAATATTCTTTCCCCAAATCACATCCGTTTGCAAGAGACTACAGTGTAATTGTACTGACATACAATCAGCAACACACTAGTCAAGATTCCTTCCAGGGAACCTGTCCTATCCTTGATTCCCCATACAAATCAACAAGTGAAAAAGGGTTGTATGTCATACCATAAATCAATTATATCACAATAAGGAAAATTGACAAGCTTTAAATGACTTAATCATCACAAAATTAAGCTCAATGACTACACTATGAACTTACAGGGTTGGCATTTTTGTCTCCGCTCATGGACTGAAGGACAGCCTTGTCCAAACCAAGTTTGAGTGATGCACGATCAAACATTTCTCTTTCATATGAGTTGCGTGTTATCAATCTGTATACTTTGACTGACTTCTGCTGTCCAATACGATGACATCTGGCCTGGGCCTAAACAAATAAAAAGCATGAAACCTGACTGAACCTTTTATCAAATGTTGTCAAAGCATGAAATCAGTTTTTTCTTAAATGTGATAATTTGTATTTCAGTCTAAAAAACAAAACGCCTCAGATTAATGAGTGGGATTTTAAACCTCTTTCAGCAATATCATTGCAAAGGACACAAGAAAAGTGTAAATGTCACCAAGAATGAATACATCGTGAAACTGACACAGTGTTCTTTCTTGTTAATGCCACATCAAGCAATATTCCAGCCATCTGGTGGCGGTCTGTCAATAATCAAGTATGTATTAGTGAGAGACATTATATGCATTGATCTTTGCAACTTGGATAAAATGACATGCAAGTGGAATATGATCACAAGCATCAACAAAGACGACCTTTTCTAAACCTAGATCTTCATGGGGCAAACACAACATGAACACATTATTCTAGCCTAAGGATGTTATAGAGGAAACTAACACTTTTGTGAGTGCCTTAGATTATTGTAAGTTATAAGCACTGGGAACAAAAAGGATCTTAACTGAAGTTGTACAGAAGACAGAACACAATCTCCCAGGATGAATTTTTATCTTGTGCTGAAAGGTGTCTTTTCATGAGTTATGTTCTTCTACTTAAATCACACATACTTTAAGTCTTTGATAAAACACATTCCAGATTTGTACAAGCCTTTAACAGCAAAATCTTACCTGCAGATCATTCTGTGGGTTCCAATCAGAGTCGTATATTATCACAGTATCAGCAGCAGTCAGGTTGATACCCAGACCACCAGCCCTCGTACATAGCAGGAACACAAAACGATCCGACTCAGGCTTCGAGAACCTGTCAATAGCTTCTTGTCTCAAGTTGCCTCTAATCCTACCATCCAGTCTCTCGTACAAGTATCTGAAATAAATTTTGTTTCAGATTAATAATTGTTTACACTAGTCAATGCAGTACAGAAATCCCATTCATAAACGATGAATAATTTGTTTGCCATTTAATGAGGAAGTAAAAAATCTAGAGATTGTTATAAATAAGGTTCACATCAAATCTCCAGACAATACTGTCACAATTTAACATACAAAACCCCAAGTACTTTTAATGGCACCAGCAACTCACTTTCTCTGAATGAGGTAGTCTTCAAGGATGTCCAGTACCCTGATCATCTGGGAGAAGACAAGGACTTTGTGTCCACCCTGCTTCAGTTTTGGAAGCAACTTGTCCAGGAGTACCATCTTGCCACAAGAGTGGACGAGGGCACTGCACAGCTGTTCTGTATCATTACCATACTTCTCCCTGGCCTCTTCCAGGATCTTATCTTCAGCACCTGAAACAATGTCACATTCAAACCCTTTCAATCACGTGGTTTTCCTCTAACAGTCATATTAATAAAATTGTTCACCTTGATATTAAATAAACTTTTTCAGTAAGACAATATATTATTCTTTCATTTAATCCCATATTTAATTCAATCTTAACTTAAACCTGTGACGGATAAATCACATCTAAACCTGCACATTTTTTTAGCAAACATGTCATGAGAAAATTCAATGACGACTGCTCACCTTGAACAAGGTATGGATGATTACAGCATTTCCTGAGCTCCATCATTGTGTTCATGAGGTTAGGTACATTGGCATAACTGCCAGCCTTAGACAAGAAGGTGAAGTTCCTCTCCAATATGGCTCTGTAGTATTTCTTCTGGATATTCGTCAGCTCCACCTAAAACATTACAGGTGAATTAAGGTACTCTCCTATAAAGTGGTATCCCAATAATCTCAATAGACAACATAGAAAATATCTATTTACCTCTACAATGGTTTCTTCTTTTGGTGCCAAGTTTTTCTCAACATCCTCTTTTAACCTTCTCAACATCATTGGTTTCAGGATCTGAAATACAATCACATATCAGTTGAAACATAGGAGTGAGTGAGTGTGGTTTTACGCCTCTTCAGCAATATCACGACAGGGGACACCAGAAATGGGCTTCACACATTGTAATAGAAATATACCCATTTTTTGTTTATAACAATGTTTTCTATTACTCATCTTTTTACTTTCACGCACACACACACACACACACACACACACACTATGACAGCTATTATGGCTTAATTCTTTTTCGACCCTTTACCTTTTTCAGTTCATCAACTTGGCTCTCCGTCTTGAGCTCACCAAAGTCATTCACAAATGACTGGGATGAGCTGAATTTGGTTGGGTTGAGGAAGTTGAGGAGGGAGAAAAGTTCCTCAGTGTTGTTCTGTAGAGGAGTGCCAGTCAACAACACACGATGCTCCTGCAACCAATATCTCACATTATAACTCATACATCTAGTGGTGATGCAATGGTCATCCATTATAATAGTTATAATAGTGAGCAAGTAGGATCTTAAAGTAGTGTAATAAGTTTAACTACAGCAATAGCTCAAATAGGTTTAATCAAGTTTTGCATTTTCTTATGAAATTTAATCTTAATATACTATCCACTTTTCAGTTCATTATGTTATGTAAATAATAATTTTGTAATTTCTTATAAATGTGTAGATGATTATCAACAGTTTTGTGCCCAAGGTCCACTAGACAAACTCTTCGCTTGCCATCATCATCGGCAGATTTCATTTTATTTCATCATTCTTTGCCGAGATTTGAAGAAATGTTCCTAAGCTAAGCTAGTGCCTTAAATTGTACAGTTTCATTTGAACTAATCACTATGTGGACGTACAATATCAATCTGGCGAAGTCCTTCCATTAATCGACAGTTCTTGTTCTTCAGTCTGTGTGCCTCATCTATCACAGTTGCTCTCCATTCAATAGTAGAGAGGAGTTCGAGATCTGACAGAATCACCTCGTACGTCGTGATCAGGGCATTGAAGCGGTAAATGTTCGGGATTTTGATGCCCTGAAAGTTGTGAAAATATTTGTCAACAGGCACACATCATAACATGTAAATACTGACAGCATTTTCATAATGCAGTTAATATGAAGCAAAGAGCAGCTTGGTGAAAATGAACCCACCTGTTCATCCTTGAAGTACATTTCATATTCTTGCAGCATGTTTCTGCTGGGGGAACTGAAAGGAATAGACACAAAATGTAGAGCAGCATACATTCATAGTGATATAATGTACAAATCCCCCATATTTTCTTCAGTATAGTGTACTGTAAGTTTCATTTCTGCATAACAATGCCTTGCATAACAGGAAATGGCAGATCATCATGATTAGTAAATAATTGATCACAAATTTCACATTTTGTCTGAACAACCTCTATGTGATATAGTTTTTGACACACACACAATACATAAATAGTAATAGTACCACTGCAAAGATTGCAATAAAAAACGGGGAGTAAACTTCATTATAATTGCAGTTATTTGCATATTATGCTATACAGAAAAAATGATCTCAAATCAGAAATATTAAAAATGTGAACTACCTTTGTTTTTCTATCAGTGGAGCTATGTTATTGAGAGAAAGCATTTTCACACTTCATGAGTTATTATATTTAAAAGTATAAAAACTTGCAACAAAAATATGTTTAAATCTGTCTGTACTTACGTTCCATGGTACACAATAACATTCATGTCTGTCCATGTTTCAAATTCCCGTTGCCAGTTTCCTAACGTTGACAGAGGTACAATCACCAGGTAGGGTCCTTTTACTCCATATTGATACATTTCATACAAGAATGTAATGCTTTGAATTGTCTTTCCCAGACCCATCTCATCAGCAAGGATACAGTTTTGTCTGCAAGAAAGTAAAGCATAACTCAGAAACAAGCACTGCACTCCTTCTATATTAGTGTAACTTTCATGAAATCACACACACCACCCCCCAAAAATAAATAAATTCACAATAGAATGATCTCCTATAGCAAGTTTCAACAAGAATTATTAAATGAAATGGGAATTCTGCTCCAAAAAGGCGGACAGAAGTTACAAAATGTGAGGAATTCAGTTTATCCCTGAATATTCAAATAGCCATTAATTACTGTTAGATGGTTAGCAATGGCTATTGTTTTTGATACATGCACAATACATAAATAGTTATAGAAACCTGCCATCATGATGATTCTTGGTCTTAGGAGGGATGAAGTACATTAAGAAAACAATTTCTTTATAAATGAGGTCAGTTATTTTTCCTGTCCTACAGCCAATATTTTGAGAGTTAAAAATGAGTGAACATACATACCAGTGGTCTTACAAAGATGACAAACTATCTTACCCATTGTACCAGCAGAATGTAAGCCAGTTGACACCCTCAAGCTGGTACTCTCGCAGTGTATTGTTTCCTTTGTATGTCCGTGTCTTATCCGACTTCTCCCACGAGCTAGGTTTAGGACGAGCAATTTCCTGAAGGATAAACATGCCATTTTGTAAAAAAGACTGACTGACTGAGTTTGGTTTTACGCCTCTTTTAGCAATATTCCAGCAACATCACGGCGGGGGACACCAGAAATGGGCTTCACACATTGTACCCATGTGGGGATTCGAACCCGGGTCTTTGGCGTGATGAGCCAACGCTTTAACCACTAGGCTACCCCACCGCCCCATTTTGTAAAAAGAAGGCACTTCAACTTTTTGCAAATGATTAACACTGACATGCTTTCTTATGTTTTATTCATGACACCTGCATAGAAACATTTATTAAAAGTGATTTGAAACCGTTGGCAGAGGTGCACAAAGATGTTCCACAACTCTAACATATGACAAACTTCCTACTCACAGCTCTATCTTCTTCTGCAGGAACTTCCCTCCACTTCTTGAAGAGTTCCACTTTCTTTGGGTCAACATCTTGCTGCAGTTCCCATGTGCTCTCCTCATATGAGAGACCACGCCACTTGACCAGGTAGTGTGTCAACTCAGTCTCTGTGTTGGGGTCAGTGGTCACAGACATGTCCAGCACACGGTCAACCTCTACATAGTCTGGGTTGAAGTATTCATCATCTTCATTCTGTATAAGTAATCAAACCCAATGTATCATTGCATTTACACCAACACCCACAAATGTCACCGAGACAACAAATAACAAATCTTCCGCTTTCTCGTTGAAAGAACAGTAGTAAATATACTGTTAACAATCATCTCCAATAAAATCAGAACACTTCATGATTTGAAGTGACTGTATATACACTGAAGAATATTATATGTTCTCACCTGGTCAAAAATGCTATTAAGTTGTAGTTTTTTCAACTTATAGCTCTTGATCTTGGACTGTATCCTCTTATCCTTTTCCAGTTCTGGAACCGTTCTCCATTCGCAATGCAAGTATGAGCTGTAACAGACAGTCAAATGGTTAGGCCCCTAACAGACGAACTTACAATATATCAAATATATACTCATAGAAATTACATAACAGAAACAGATACACCCAAGAGCAACACAACATGTATGTTCGACACATGGAATTAGACTTATACAAGATGGGCCTCAAAATGCAAAAAGTTTTGCTTAAGATTGTCTTCTCAGGACCTGTTCAACATGACACTGAAGCACAATCCACTGCGTCAAATATATGATGCAGTTGAATTGCAGCTGGCAGGGTATGTGATAGGTTCAAGAGAACCATGCTTACATGACGTCTTTCAACATGACAATATTTAAACACATGAATCAGTTGAAACAGCAGCGTTCCAATCACAACACAATGTACAGGACGGTCTGAGGCCTGCTGAATCACAAAACTTGAGCCCAAAAGAAAACCTGTATGAAAGCGTCAATCTGAACCACAGACTAGAACATGCACAATAGGCCTACTTGGTCCCATGTCAACAATACTCAGGTTTCATCCATAGAAGGTGCAAAGTAGTAACTGAAGCAAATGAAGGTCACAAAGATACATACTGTTCATGACTCATGAGTTCATGAGTGAGCCAGAGGTTTTATGCCGCTTTTAGCAATATTCCAGCAATATCACGGCAGGACACCAGAAATGGGCTTCACACATTGTATCCATGTGGGGAATCAAACTCGGGTGTTTATTGTGGTGAGCGAATGCTTTAACCACAAGGCTACCCAACCGCCCTACTTTTTGTGACCTTGACATCAACCATTTTTCATGTTATTGTCTCTATTTGACATGTCCCCTGATGGCCTGTTTGGAATATGCCCTCCACCTATTCAAATGTGCAGTAAATGAGAGCATGTAGAGAGGAAGTAGATGAAATAGTAATAAATCATGATCAGGAAATGTACTCACTAGTTTTTGTACTTGACAAAGAACTCCTCCTCTTCTTCAGGCTCCTCAGATCCATCATCACCGTCCTGCATTACAATTTAAACATTTGTAGATACCAACCCATAAAGCAAAACAGTTACACAAACTCTTTCATCACATATTCCTTGAACCCAATTGTACTTGTGATAATATTGAAAAAAAGGAGTAAAATATACATGTACTCTCTAGACAATTTGAAAGTGATAAACTATCGTGCATCATGATATATACATGCAAAATGTTGATAACCTATGAAATCACTGCAGGTGACTCTAACTGAATCACATGTCTGTCAACCACAATTAAATTGCCAAGCCTTTACATTTCTAGGTACATTTGGATCTTCACATGTCAAGAGAAACACAGTCTCATAAACATGAATCTTCAAACTTGATGGATAAGACATGGTTAGAGAAAAACATAATAAATCCTCTACAAGATAAATGTATGTGCCTGAAATAATAATCATTAATAATGACAAATAATTAGATTAACATGGTGATGAATGCACGTATAATGCAGTTTCTTTGTCTTAAATTTCAAAATGCACCATAATTAGAATTGCATATCAGCTTAAATGACAATAAGACGAGACATGGTGTGCATACATCAACACTCTTAATAATCTCACTTGGTGATAACTGTTTTAACATTTGCACAACCTTACATCATTCAGACAAAACACAAACCTCCTTGTCAAATTTCCTCATTCGGTGACCTAGAATCTTCTCTACAACAATGGTATCTTCTTCTGCAGTAGTTTCCTGTAATACAGCAATCATTGTTAAACGATAATTTCCTCAAAAAACATGTCTGAAGTAAACAATGAGGATGATTTTAATTCATGTTAATCTGTCAATACTCTATGTATATCAATATTTCTGGGTCTAAACAGTTAAACATTACCATGGTTACGTCAGTTATGAAACAACTTTACATTCATGAATAACCTTGGCATATCTGACATATAAGTTCACCAAATGTTAACTCCTTCAGCACAAGTCAACCAGAAGCTTTTACTGCTGTGACGAGTTGACAGACTTGGAGATGATATATTAAGCCTACAAAATTATCTAGGAAATTATCAGCTTGTCAAACATTTTGGCCACTACCAGTCATACAAAGGGAAGTCTAATCCTTCTGTTTATATATGACATGAAAGTTTGTCACACTATTTCAATAATGCATTGATAACTTAATTAACGTCATTTTTATGAAATTTTAGGTAACACATTCAAAACATCAAGCTTAAGTACCAAGGAAGCAAAAATGACAATTTTCATCAGCTATTACACATCCATTGTAAATGACAAATAGAATTTAATTATGCATCTATCGTCACATATTTCTACATATTCTGCTTTTCTTATCAGCAACATGAGAAAGCACCAAGAAAAAACTGAGAATTCAAAGCTTTGTATGAATGACATCGGTGATGACTCATTCAACAGTAATTAAACTAATCTGGAAGTTAGTATTTCCATCACTGTAACATGTGATTTTATTAGATAGAAATTGGTATCTGAAGACATTTTTGAAGCCACAATCTTCTACAAGATTATGATTGGTAAAAATTAATTACAGCAAAAGGATATGGTCTTGTGCATGAAATATTTAAGATTTAGTGGAAAGTCTCTCGTTCAGTTATGTTATTTTGAACATTTCAAGCACGATATAATAATTCTTGTTTAAAATATAAAATTTCTTGGACATAATATGCTTCGTAAGATTTCTCACGCATATTGTGGCATTAAACATTACTAAACAGAAAATTCAAGGCAAATGCAAAATGTCACTTAAACTTACGACAATCATACAAAACAATGCAAATAGTAGTAAACAAGATAACATAGTAATAGTTGATGTAAGTTTGACAATATTTAGAAATATATTTGTTTCTCATATTTGTCTTAATTAAGCATGAGAGCTATGAAAATTGTTTCAATAAAATTGCGAGAAATAGTTCAGAATATAAATCCATCAGCCCTGTGAAAAGTGAAAAATTGAATAAATGAAAGATATGACTTGCAGGTTAATATAATTAGACATCATTTTGATGTGGTTATGATCGTTACATTGTCCAAGCCTAAAGAATCTGGGGACTCATTTAACGCCGGTGTCAACCTTGGACGTTAAATGATGTCATACAAGACCAAATTAAACACATAAATTTAAAAAAAATGACCATAATTCATGCATATCAAGAAAAATATTGTACCGATTTCATTTGAAGCGGGCCCTCTACGCCCTCGATGTCAATATCTGCATTATTGTCATCTGACAAGTTGAGCTCTATGTCATCCAAGTATTTCTTCCTTTTTGTGTTTCGAGCTGATCTCCGTTTCTGTCAAGGTAATGAAAGAAAACAAACCATAAGTTCATGACCTTCAAATAACCTTTTCTAATGTTCTCAGAGCATAAATGCTCATACTGAAAAGTCTGTAAAATTATTTAACTGAATGCCTTAAAATGTAGTAACTTACAAGTACAGCACAAACTTTATGCAAAAAATTATTTCACTATGAAAGTAATGGGAAACAGCCATGCATATTAACTTAAAAACAAAATAGAATCATAATAGTGATGACACTGGTGGGACCGAACATCCTGTGGAAAACATATCCTGGATTGAGCAGTACCATGGACCTTCATAGTGACTGGTTTTACGTTCATTTATTAATATTCCTGGGACTGCAGAAATTGACTTCACACAACATACCAATGAGAGGAATGAAACCAGCGTCTTCAGCATGACAAACAATGCTTTAACTATTTGGCTACTCCACCACCACAATCATCATGCTACTGATAAAATACTTTAAGAAACTGAACAATCATATCTTCTTATATTCTGAGGATGTCTATAAGCACCACAAGTGATTACTGCAACATATCTCTATTTAGCTAACTTACAAGTGACTCGTCTTCTTCCTTTGGTGACCCAGGAGGAGACAAGTCCAGATCAGATACATCTGAAGATGGACGTTTCCGCTTCTTCTTGCTCTTCAGCAGGGTGGCAGGAGGCCTGAGAACAAACACATGAAGGTCAGTCTGCACACAATATAAACATTATTACCTACAACATAAGAAGTCATGATGAATGCAGGAGTTATTCATATCAGTGAATAGATGTTGTTTCACAAAATTAGCTTAAAGTAGTTTGTTTTTCTTTCATAAAAATGTTTTTAAAAAATTTACTTTTACACACATTCAAGAGTATGTTATTGGAACAGGATCTTACTTTTTCTTCTTTGGTGTTTTCACTTTTGGTGTCCTGATTTTCTTTTCTTTCTTATCTTTCTTTTCTTTGTTTTCCTTCTTATCCTCGCCACCAGTTTCTTCACTGCCATCCCCGGTAACCACTGTAGGCAGCAATGACCCATCACCATCAACAACAACTTCAGCTGCAGCTACTTCCACATCTTTCTTTTTCTTCCTCTTCTTTACTGGCTTTTCTCCAGTGTCAGGTTTAGGCTTCCTCACACGTTTCTTCTTCTTTGGCGTCTTTTCATCACTCTCAATTTCTGCCACTACGTCTGTGACAGTTGCTGGAATCGTTGCAGGTGACAGCACATTTGGTATGGATTGTCCCTGTGCTTGTGCTTTGGCTATTGCCTCAGCAATTATTTTGTCCGCTTTTTCTTGGTGCACATTTTTCTTCTTATTTTTGACTAGATCATCATTTTCATCATTGAGGTCAATATCAAGCATGACTGGGGTGGCGAGACTGTCAAGACTAGGTGGACTAAGGGCAATATGATCTTCCAGGGAGGGGGTCTCTATTCCAAGGCCATCAACCTGGGGCTGAGGCACAGCCTGCAGCAGGGGTGGGGCCTGTGACAGGGGTTCAGGCTCAGCAGCAAACAGGGGCTTTGAGGTAGGTAGAAGTTGAGATTGGTCTGTCTGCTAGAAAACACAAAAAACAGTGCTGCAAATATAAATCTTTTTAGGGCTTAAGAGAATAACAATGACAATAAAACATGAAACCAAATGTGAACAGCACTTGCTTGTGTCAAATTATCAAAAACAGCTCACTCACTATGGTGGTTACAAATATTCTTCCTTGATATCACAATCTGTAGCCGCATTTGACTTTTGCACAACTTGAAACAGTGTTAACAAATAGCACTGCACGTTATCATACATTTTATCACAGCTGTAACAGTTCAGTGAAATTCTCATACACTAATTCACATCCTCAAAATTCTGAAATCACTGAGATATCAGACATTTGGATGAAAATCAAATCTTGTTCAACCAATGTCTTGCATTTAGATCTCAACAACAAAGGAGATTAAGAAGAGGAATTAGCCCAGCCAAGATGTATACAAAGGAACAAGCTTGCCCCCCACATCCCCACATCTAAATTATCCCAACCCCTGCAAACAAAGAGCACTTTCTAGCCTACCATGTAAAACCTCCATAAAGTATTTCACTAGCTTTATCCACCTTGTAAAAACAGCACAAAGAAATGATGGATAATTTCACATGACTACATTAAGTCAAATCAGCCATCTGGTCTTTGGTGTGCAGTGGGTAGAAAGCACTAGTCTTGTATACAACTGCCTCACTATAAGGACTGTGGTAGTGGTCAGTGAGCCCTTACAGTGAGTCATTAATTACATCATCCTCCAAAGGGATTTATTGCCTTAATGCCCACATGTGCTGCTAGCTGGGATAGTTGATAATGATCTGCTATGCCTATACCTTACCTACCCTGCCTTACATTGAGGACCTATGATAATTGACTGTGTGTCAGGCTCTCGTTACCATGACACCAGGCCTATCAAGCATCAGTGGTAAGCCAGCCTGGCTCCATTGACAAAGTAGCTGACCTCAACCTTTCACCTTGTGATGCCCACAACACTTCTGGCCAATCAGAAACCAGTTCACAGATCATATGGTTACCCATGCTGCTAACACCACAGTTTATCATTTTCATCTCACAGCCCACATGTAGCCTAAGGCCTGGGGTCTACAGCTAAGATGTGTTGTATCTGGTGAAAAAGTGTTACAAAGGTTGGCAAAGAGTACAGGGGTGCCGAGAGCAGATTTCCACAGCTTGAGCCAGGAAGGAGCTAGCATCCTTGTCAGTCCAGCTGGATGGGTACACACCTATATTTCCTGAAGCAATCAAAGTGATGCAGCCATAAAAACCCAGTGAGAGGGGCTGGCAGGAGTTTGAGGTTGATGTTAGCTAGGTCTCTAGTCGGACATATTTGAAGGCTTACATCAGCTATCAGCTTGCTGTGTATGATGATGGTCTTATCTGCTGTACTCATTAACCAGAGATGGGGCTATTGGGCTCCTCACTCTTGCAGCACAGTTCACTCTGTGTTTAGCTGGGTCGAATAGATTACATACAACTCTTGGAATTTAGGTAGAGTTAGAAGATTTAAAGGGATAAAATTACTTCTCAAAAACACCAAAAGGCAATAGTTTTATCAAAATGAACACTAAATATCAGTGTGCTGAAACGCATTAAAGATTACTAGACCTAACATGATCAGTGAGATCATTTTGGGGTAAAACTTAGTGTTATTATGGACAAATATTAGCGGAGCTTAGAAGACCAAATACATGTAGACTTGAATTCAACTCTGACTTCGGACCAGTGGTTTAAAGTCACTGACTGAAATCTCTAACAGATATCTGAAATCACTCAGCACATTGGTAACTAAGTATATATTATATGTAGTCATGCATCGTCAAAAGTTCTCTTTCATGTATCCCATTATTCTTTTTTTTTTCAGGCATAATAGGTACATTCATATGGGTATAAGCATGAAATGTACGATGAAAGCACAGGGAAGTACCTCTATGATTGTACCATTTTTTTTATTAAGATATAAAGTTCAAGGCACATTGGTTATACAAATAAGTAGCTGTGGCAGTGTGCCAATGCTATATAAAGTCATAAAGTCTAATTTTCTTATTGAACCAGCAAGTTCAATAATGGCACAATGTTTGCCAGAGAGTGTAAAATTTATGGCAGTATGCTAATAATACATGAAGTCAGATGTTTATGATGCAAATTTCAAGAAAGGCACAGTGTTTACAAGAGAATTCATAGGCCAACAGTATATTAAGTCTTATGTAATTTGTCTAATTAGAGCTGTACAAGCTTTTTTGAGAAACAAAAATTATAGATTGGCACAGTGATTATTCTTTTCATAGTTAGTTTCAATAATATTCCAACTATCAGATGTTGCCAAAATAACAGGAAACAAATTCTTACAGATAATATCTACAGTTGAAAAAAACTTCTTTGTCCAAAAGTATCAAATTCCATTCAGTAACATGCAAAATTCATACAAATACACACATTAATCCCCAAAATGTTCAAAACACTAGATAAAAACAATACAATAACCAACTGCTGCATCATAATTTAGAGTCAAATGGGAACATGTGTGTGACGTAATTGTCTAATTATGCAGGTTAAGCTGAACCAAGCACTATTTGAACCGAAAGCCATATTATCCGGCAAGGGTAAAATTAACTTGCATCATCAAATTAACATGCAGGTTTTTGTTATCAGGCACCAGCAGCAGCAGGTTGGCTGTGTTCACTTGCACTAGAGCACATCTGGTAATGGCTTACCACCGTGACCCAGACCTCCTAAACCACATGCTAGACTGAACTTAAAACTATCCCTACCTGACTGTCAGAGCTACACGACCCACACCACGCTTAGGCGAGCAGGAGGAAGATCTTTGTTTGATAGTACAACACAACACTGCTCAGACCCTTCAAGCTTGAAGTCGCTTTTCAATGGCGTAACCTTAGTAGCCAAACGAACATCCTAATGATAATTTTCCAAGCAATAAATCTCCAAATACCGTCAGGTAAAATAATGACGGAACATTTCAAAATAGGAAGGATGCCATGTGCTTAACACTAGAAGTTGCTGATGGTGTGTCCATGGCTAAGCCCTGTGAGAGTGAACAAAGGCCAGCTCTAACTGTCATATTCCACCCGACCGACCCCTCCTTTGTCCCTTAGCTTCAACACACCTGTCTGGTAAACGTCACAGCCACACACATGATCACATCACTCAATACTGCATGTTCGATACACAACACACCCTCATTGCTTCACCGGCTCTTCGGTGGTAGGAGTCTATCACTTTTCAAAGAAAGCTTGTAAAAAGCTATTAAATATCAATATTACAACGTGGTTCTGAAGAATTCAAATTCAAACTTGTTCAACACGCCTACAAAGTCATTTGAGTGTAGCAGTCTTGAATTGGAACAAAACAGGCAAATCAGTCAAAATGCTATACAAATTTAGAGAAACTACTGCAAAATTAAAGGATTTTCATCAAGCGTATGAGTTTCATTGTTAAAAACCCACAACTGACAATCAATATGACTGACCCTTTGCATGAATAATGTAAAGAAGCATAAAATTCAAAAGGGTTTTCCATTGCGATAAATATCAGGTTAAGTAAAAGTCAAATTTGGAACTTGAAACAGATAGATTTCATCTTCATCCATGACTGGTAAAGAATCATACAATCTTTACTACACACAAATTAGACTTCAGTTGTCAAGAATGGGCTTCAAAATGAAGATGGTTTTGGATGATGTAAACATTTGATACTATAAAACAAACAGAAAGAAAATATTAATGTTTGTATCAGTGTGAAGAATAATCTTTGATGTGTTAACAATCTGATGTATTTCATTGGTGGTCAGTTGCAACGGTACATTCAATCATCGAACTTAGACAAAACATGGTTACAAGCCTGAATTACCTGACATATGGGTGTGACTGACGAAAGATTGATATTGAGCCACAAGGATAAACATCACAGCTTACAACAGAATCCATATAGCTTATGGTACATCTATTAATGAAATGCTTCCATGCAATAACCTGTCATCTACTGTGTTCTTCAACATCTACATCATTCATCAAGGTAAAACCACATGTTGCAAGTAGCTTTAGAACCAGTTCATGAAATGGAAGTCAAATGACAAAGGCTCCTTTCATCATCTTCCAACCAACAACAGACAGCATGCCATGCTGCAAATCATCTAATATAGCAGGGGGAGTGAAAGAACTTTTGCCCTGAAGTTGAACTTCCCATGAACCAGCATCAAATCCTGAACTGTTGAAAATCTAGCAGATGATGGGACACACTTGTTTGACTATAGTTCTAACAATGCATCCTTATCTTCAAAATTTCAGTTTCATGTCAAATGTTCAAGACAATCTAACATGTGTATATTTACCTGTAACTATCTAGCAACACTACCTTCACCCACGCATCTGGGTCAAGTGGATATAAAACTATAGTATGCATACATATTAGATCAGTTGAGAGGATGTGACACCTTGGTTTCCACCAGGCTTCACTGACTACAATTGTCTGAAGTACAGGCTTTGTTCTCCAGCTTGGGCTCCCTAGCCTTCCCATTGTCTAAGCTTTGTGATGTAAGACAGGCTAATTAGGCCATGGTTCCTTCACCACCTCCATTCAAGAGGTAATCTTTTCCTCATTCTTGTGGGATAATAGATCTTTTCCTGACGTTTTGCAAGCTATGGTAACAATGCGTTATGTTTGCATGTTTTTACAGTCTAATTTTGTAAAAGAACCTGGTTAAATAATTGAAACCTTAATGTTAATTGTTTCAGTTTTTAACTGAGAATCACCCTTCCTCCTGAGAGATATACAAATTAGTAAACTAGTCAAAACAATACACATCCTAATGCAAAGTGTGATATGACACTTTCATGTCAATTCAAAACAGTGTATGATTAAAATCTAAATATCTAGCAGTCTGTCTCAAAAACATTCAAGTCTACTTTCTTAGTTCTTAGCACCATTTTCAGAAAACAGTGTAAAAATACGGGCTAGTAGCTGAGCTTGCACAGGCTTCAGATTTGTTGTTCAAATC